GCATTGCGGTATGGCTGGCACCCGGCACGGCTCCCTTCTACTTGTGTCTGTGATGCCACCTTCTCTGTTGAGCATGCTCTCTCTTGCCCCACTGGTGGTTTCCCGACGCTTCGCCACAATGAGGTACGGGACATCATCGCTGGCCAACTGAAGAAGGTGGTACACAGCGTAGAAGTAGAGCCTCATCTCCAACCGGGCCCTCACCGGCGAGCTTTTCCGCTATCGGACGGCGTCCACCGAGGATCAGGCCCGTCTGGATGTGGCGGCGAGTGGTGTGTGGGGAGGACGGTTTGAACGCGTTAATCTTGATGTACGGGTGTTTAACCCATTCGCTCCTTCAAAACCGGCCGTTCCTCTTCTCTCGCTGCTCACTACCAGAGCCATGAGCGCGAGAAGCGTCGCAGGTATGGTCAGAGGGTGCAAGAAGTTGAGCGAGCCTCCTTCGTACCTGTTGTATTCTCAGCCACAGGTGGAGCCGGTCGAGCTGCTTCCGCTCTTCTCAAGCGAATTGCTGCTCTGTCTGCAGAGAAATCCGGAGAGCCATACGCAATGGTGATGGCGTTGCTGCGTTGTCGTCTTGGTTTTGGTCTCCTGCGTGCCAGTGTTGCCTGCCTTCGCGGTGCCCGGCGGATGCGCCGCGTCAATGATCAGTCTGCTGTCCTCGCAAACGCGGAGGCTGCATTGATTTAACTAATTACTTTCTTTGCAACTCCTGCAGTCTAAGTACTGAGTATCATTGTTTTTTTGTTTTTTTTATTTTTTTTTTTACGGATGCCGGATTTGAGCCGCAGTCTCACTCGGACCTGGTTTCTGGCGCCCCGTTCGCAACTCACCCTGGCCTGATGCAGAGTAGCCAGTGTTGCCGGTGCAACGGCAACGGCACCTGCGTCAGGTGTGACTGCACCAAGGCTGGAAATGCTGGAGCTGCCTTCCGTCAAAGAAGGATCGTTGTAAAAATTCCGCCATCCCTTCTGCTCCCCAGCCGGAGCTAGCTGTCAACGGCCATCGACAACCTACGGTGCAGGACAATGCTACGGGAACAGTTCTAACCGTACAATGCGATGATGCCAGCTTGGGTGCCAGTGCAGCCACAGCTCTCACCGCCACCCTGCTGGCAGCAGGGAGCCCTACACAAAGGGCTCAATGTCGAGATCCCGTACCCGTAGATCTACCGTGCAGCGGTGAGGTGGCGGCTTACCATGAGGACAATCATTCCACTCGATTTACTGGCGATCAGACCGCTAGCGACGCCTCAGACTCCCAACAGTTTGCTTGGAGAGCACTGGATCAGCTGCAACCAACCACCGTGGTTACGGAGGGCGGAGCGGACGAGCCTCCTGCCGGCGCTCAGTCGGACTCCCAGCAGTATGCGTGGAGGACACTGGACCAGCATCAAGCACGCACAAGTGCGTCCCAGGAAAGCCCTGTGCCCACCCCAGAAGAGGTCGACCTCGTAGCCAATCTGGATCAGAGCCAGCTGCAACAGACCCCGACACACTCAGATCAGGAGCTGGAGGAAGGCCCACGGGATCTCCCGAATTTCCCTACTGCCCCCACTACAGGATTCCTTCTGGGCGAGCGTACCAACTTGGATTCTGTGCAGGCTGTGCAAGACGTGTACGAAGAAGTGGTACACTGTAGACCGAATGCAATGCAGGTACCCCGAGGAGCCACTGGCAAGCTCTTTGTATCCCAACTCGCCAATTACATTGTATGCTTTGGAACCAGTGGGCCATATGAAGGCATAGCTCTGAAAGTAGCCATGGTCTTCCAAATGCTGATGCTGCAGAAGCCGCCAGGTCCTCCAGAGAAATCCGCAGATATCCTGCAGCGCCGCCTAGCAGCATGGCACAGAGGGGACCTACACGACCTGCTGCACGAATGCCAAACGATTCAAGAGGAGCTCGCAGCACCTAGCCGGCCCCACCGCGGGGGTAACAAGTAGAAGGATGATGCACGCCACTTTGCAAACCTGGTGACAAGTGGGAAGCTATCCAACGCCCTACGATCGCTAGCCCCCAACGGAAATGCTGGAGCCCTGGCGCTGGATGACAGCATCGGTGACAAGTCAGTGCAAGAGGTCCTGCAAGACAAACACCCTGACCCTGCGCCCCTAGCCACGGAGGCCCTGATACAAGGTGTTCCCCCTCCTCAGCCTCATCCGGTCAGGTTCTCTGGTCTCAATCGTGACTTGGTGAGAAAGGCGGTACTCAACATGCATGGCGCAGCCGGCCCGTCAGGTGTAGACGCTGAGGCATGGAGGTGGATGTGCACAATGTTCTCCGATGCGTCTGACTCGCTATGCGATGCGCTGGCAAGCTCTGCTCGACGCGTGGCGACCGAATTTGTCGACCCCCGATCGCTGGAAGCGTACCTGGCATCCCGACTCATCCCCCTCAACAAGAACCCGGGGGTTAGACCCATTGGGATTGGCGAGGTGATGCGGAGAGTGGTGGGCAAGGTCATCCTGTACGTAATTGGTCAGGATATTCAAGAGGCAGCTGGCACCCTTCAACTCTGTGCAGGCCAGGACTGCGGGATCGAGGCGGCAATACATGCCATGCAGCAAGCGTTCGACCAGGAGGATACCGAAGCGGTCCTAATGGCAGATGCCACGAATGCATTTAACACGCTGAACAGGGAAGCATGCCTGCGCAACATGCGTCACCTATGCCCATCCCTGGCGACAGTCGTTATTAACAGCTACCGACAACCCGCAAAACTGTTTGTTGGGGGCAGCGTCATCATGTCGGCAGAGGGCACCACCCAAGGCGATCCCATCGCGATGCCGATGTATGCGCTGGGCATTCTACCCCTCATTCGTGCTCTCTCGGCTGAGGGAACGATCCAGATGTGGTTTGCAGACGACTCCTCCGCGGGCGGCAGAGTCCAACGACTACGCGCTTGGTGGATATTCTGCGACAGAAAGGACCGGCATATGGGTACGCAGCAAATGCTGAGAAATCAGTCCTGGTTGTCAAGGCCGGTCACCTGAGGGACGCTGAGGACGCCTTTGCAGGGACCGGTGTGCACATTACCACCGACGGCCACCGGTTTCTAGGTGCTGCACTCGGATCGACGGAGTTCGTCCAGAGCTATGTTTCCCGGAAGGTAAACGAGTGGAAAGACGAGATCGTGTCCTTGGCCAAGATTGCCGAAACCCAGCCACAGGCTGCCTATGCAGCATTCACGCAGGGCCTGAAGCATCGCTGGTCCTTCCTGTGCAGAGTCATGGAGTGTGCTGCTGAAAATCTTGGCCCGCTGGAAGACACCATCACCAATGTCCTTACTCCTGTGCTGTGCGGTAAGCCAGTAAACCCACGTGAGCGAAGGGTCCTTGCTTTCCCATGCCGCGAAGGAGGCCTCGGCTTAGTCGACCCCACCACCTTGGGCGACCAGTTCCGGGCATCGGCAGCGATAACCTCGGCGCTCGTCCGCAAGATTCTGGACCAGGACACCCAGATTGGCCATGTGCTGGACCTGGTACGGTCCACTAAGAGGGAGGTGGCAAGTCGTACCCGCACTTCAACGGCCCAAGCAGCCAAAGAGTTCATCCTGACGCAGAACACTGATATCCAGCTCTGTGTCGGTCTGGCGGCGGAGAAGGGTGCGTCGGCTTGGCTGACCTGTAGACCCCTGAAGGCCCATGGCTTTGTCCTCTCGAAGGGTGAGTTCCGGGATGGCCTTGCGCTCCGCTATGGCTGGCTGCCAGCCCACCTTCCATCGATTTGCCCGTGTGGTGCATCGTTCACCGTCGCCTACGCCTTGTCGTGCTCTCTGGGTGGGTTTCCCTCACTGAGGCACAACGAGGTACGGGATGTTACGGCTGGTCTCCTCAAACGGGTCGCCAACAACGTCACCACTGAACCACACCTGCAGCCGGTAACTGGGGAAGCATTCCGCTACCGCTCTGCCATAACGGACCCCCAGGCTAGGCTGGATATAGCAGCGAGTGGTGTCTGGGGTCGGCGTTTTGACAGCACTTTCTTCGACGTACGGGTTTTTAACCCTTTTGCGGCTTCAAATCGCTCCACCTCAGTACCCTCCTGCTACCAGCGCCACGAACGGGAGAAACGTCGCTGCTATGAGGAGCGTGTTCGAGAGATCGAACATTCAACTTTTTCACCTCTCGTTCTCTCCTCAACAGGCGGCATGGGCAAGTCGGCAACAGCCTGCTATAAGCGGATTGCCGGGCTCCTGTCCGACAAGACGAAGGAGCCGTACAACCGAGTAATGGCGTGGATTCGCTGCCGACTTGGCTTTGCTCTGGTTCGCTCCAGCATGGTTTGTTTGCGTGGTGCTCGGCGACGCCCCATGCGCGTCAGCGATGTGGCGGATGCATCTGCTACCTTGGCCGTTGCCGAGGCCCGCTGCCCTGTATAACGTTAACTGACTGCAAGTGGTTCCTAAATCAGTTCCTATTCCTCATTGTTGCTTCTTTTTTCCCTTCTAGTTTTCTTTTTACGGTATTATAATTTCACGGAGAAGGCGGAGAGCCCGAACGTGTGCAGTTTTATTTTTATTATTTGCCATGGCGACCCCCGTAAGTCCAAATAACTGGCAGGCCGGCAGGGTTGGGCCTTTTTCTTTCTCAGTCTCGGATTTGTATGATGTCAATAAACTGTTGAGAGCTAGTATCATTGTTATCTTGTGTGTCAGTGTGTGTGTGTGTGTGTGTGTGTGTGTGTGTGTGTGTGTGTGTGTGTGTGTGTGTGTGTGTGTGTGTGTGTGTCTGTGTGTGTGTGTGTGTGTGTGTGTATGTGTGTATGCGTGAGTCAACAGCTTTGATAAAGTTATCATCGTGTTTACCCCTCCGTTGTTTTCTCATCACTTGTTGTGTTGCGTTTAATTTTAATCTTGCCCGTAAAATTTAAAAGAGGCTGTTGGACCGTTGAAAAAAAAACTTAAGCGGGATTCACAGAAGCTTTTTTGCGACACGACGAGTCGTCGTAGATCTACCGCGTAAAAGTCCGTAACTTTTTACTGGCAGGGTTGGGCCAAAGAAGTGACTTCGTTTGAATCAAAATAATTAGCACACTCTCTCGACTGGTTCTCTGGCACTTGTGACTTCGCCCTGTGACCAGGCAGAGGATCTTGGCAACAGGACATTCTTGCTCTTGTTGCTAACACTGAGTCTGTGCTTCGCGTAGCTGCAGTCCGGTGGTAGCCGGAGTCATGGCTGTGTCCCTTGCGGAGACTCTGACGACGTGGAGCGATGCTATCAAGGCATTTGAAGGTGGTGATGCCAGAAAAGCTCTAGGTCTTTTCAAACAGTGCCAGGACGCGTCCGCAATTATGTTGTTCAACATTGCAGTAGCTCACCTCAAACTGAAAAGTTACCGCGAGGCAATTACGGTAAGTGTATTTTGTTGTTGTATTTATTTTACATCGATATCAAACGGGCATGGCTGCCCGATATTATGGTCCGATTGCTGCAATCTGAATCAGTGCAAAGCAGAAGAGCACTGAATTGAAGGAAGGGGGACAAAAATATATAGAATTAAAAATAAATAAAACAGGCCGTAAAGAGAGGCAGAAAGCCGTGCAACAAGAAAATAATAAAGATCAGTATGGCAGCCTGTACAGGCACAGTTGAGGTTCCCGTTCTTTGATAAGACGTTTGAATTGTCGGAACGCGTCTGCTGCTTTCAGCTCAACAGGCAGGCTGTTCCATAAGCGGCAAGCCACAGAAATTGGTCGACACGACCCTGAACTATGGCGAATGATGGGCAGCGGCACATTGCCTATCACACAGCCCCTTATTGTGAGGGCACCATGGTCGGGCCAGACCTGGAGGCGGGATTCCAGGAGACTATTGGCGCTGCCGTGGTGGAGACGGTAGACGAGGAGTCAGAGTTTGCACTCTGCTCGCTCGATCACAGGGCAGATGCCGAGTTGCAGATAGAGTGGCATCGTGTGCACCAGTGGATGCTGGCTGGTAATACACCGAATACACCTCTTATCCAGTCTCAGTGAAACTTGCCGCTGTTCTTCCGAAAGACCCGGGAGAAAAGCATTGGTTGCATCAGGTGTGCCCGCTTGATGTTGAGGTGTCCCTGAATGTGGCGAAGAACTCTCAGTTTCTGTGACACCTTTTTCACCACCATTGCAATCTGAGGGCCCCAACGAAGGCGTTCGTCCAGCTGAATCCCCAGGTACTTACCGACAAAATCTACGTCAATGCGACTGATATGGATCAGTATATCGTCTGTAAACGTCATAGTGTAAGCAGGCTTTGCAGCAATGACGACATCACGCAAACTAGTACTTCTATCACTGAGATACGTTCACTGACATTCACTCGGTACTACAGCCACTATTAAAAGTCAGGTATCATGCTTGACATATGCACGTATTCACGTGACATCCCAATGCGAGTATGCTTGTTCGTAAAATTCATATACCGTAAAACCGGAAACAAACCGAAACGAAGCCAAGATTAAGGATGCATCGATGGTTATGTTTCACGTACACGCGTACTACTCGGTATATTCCTATCTCAGGGCCAGAAGAGTTTGCGAGTGGTCCGGCCGAAGTCCGAGGGGGGTCCAGAGGATCTCCCGCGGGGAATTTTTTTGAGAATTTACGTGAAAATGAGCGTATTTGGGCATCTCGTGAGAGAGGCAGACAAATGTGACAGATGAAACTATATACATGTACAATTAGGCATCAGGATTGGTAAATCATTTTGAGAATTTATGTGAAAATGAGCGAATCTGGGAATCTCGTGAGAGAGACAGACAGATGTGACAGATGAAACTATAATATTATAATTAGGCATCAGGATTTGTCTGGAAAGATATCTATTTTAAACATCCCAAGGATGTTTAACCGATGCTAATTGGCGGCACCAAAATCATTGCCACATTGCCGCAAGCTGAGCAAATCTGCTTTGTCCTTGTGGACATACAGCAGAAGCAATGCATGAAGGCGTGCCTGGGCCATTGTGGTTCGGAGATAGGTTTTCAGTCGTTGAAGAGCTGAAAATGACCTCTCGCTGATGGCATTGCTTGCAGGCATGACGAGGATACACTTCATGATGGTAAATATCTCCGACAGTAGTTCCCTACCTCGACCAAGGTTGAGGAGGGCTGTCTTAATTGTGCCAATTGAGATGTTTCCACCTCCTATGCGCAAGGACTTGAGCAGCGGCAGTTGTGTTTGCAACAGTGGGACGTTGATGTCCGTTGCGTACATGTCCTCAACCCGTGCCAGCTCCGCACTGTAATCGTCTCCATTGGCAGCTTTCAGGACAACTCCCTCCAGGCAGCTGTAAACTTTGTATCCTGGCTGATCAAATCGCTCTTTGATGCATGCCATCACAGTATCAGTAGCGGCAAAGTAGATAGGCTTGTAATGGTCAGCAGGGCATTCAGCATAGTGACCCTGGCCTGTACCGACAGCAAAGCGAGCTGGTGTCTTCCACTTCCTCGCTAGAACTGGCTCATCTACGTCATTGGCTGACTGCACTTTGACAACATCCGCCCGAAAATGTTTCAAAAGATGTATCATTCCGGAGGCTTGTAAGGGATCGCAGAGTGATGGTTGCTGCTGCCCGCCCCTCAGCAGCAGAATTATCCTTCTTCTGCAACGTCTTGCTCAGGTTCTCGGCAAGGCCAAGAATTTTGCGTCCCAGCATCACTCCCAACAGGAAACGGTACAGCGAGAACTGGTGCGCAATTCCACTGACTCGAGCTGATATCTCAGCATCGTACTTAGCCATTGACTCAAACTCGGTAAGGCTGGCTTGCGGGACCGAGTAGTTGCTTACAATGCTAGCAAGGGAGACTGAGCGAGTGGTCCATCTTGTGGGGCATAGAGTGCGAAATCCTGCTTGGTCAGGAGCCACATCATCCTTGAGCCTTTGATATGTGGCATTGCGCTTCGCGGAATACTTCAGAAGTTTTGACAACTCAAACACGACGTATCCTGTGAGCCATTACCTGCAGGATCTCATTTTGCATATCATGGCCAGTGTATTTGCTGCTTTTCCGTTGCAACCACTCTGCAAAAGCTGGGTCACTGGAGCTGGTGAGCTTTAGAAGCTGACTGAAATTGCCATCTTCTTCCTGCGGACCATCACCACGCATGGGAAGTCCCTGTCTAGCGAGGAATCGAAAAGCAGACAGGATCTTCAGGAAGGACTCCTGGGCAGCCCTTTTGTCCTCCGCTAGTTTGGACGACAAGAGTTCACCCACATCTTTCATGGTGGCAGGCCTGTTTGCAATCGTTCTACAGCTTCGCGGTGGCACTCGGATGACTCGTGCCTCCTGAAACTTGTTGTCGCATCCTTCCAGTTCTGGAACCCCTTCGTCAGAAACGCCCCATCAGCGCAGCTAGCGATCGAACGTTTCTTCGAAACAGCCAAGCAGCAGGTGTGGCAAAACGCACGCTCACTCTTTGAACCCCAATGTAGCCATTCCCAAGAGGAGAACCAACTCGGCTGAAAGGAGCGGCACACAACATTCTTCACATCGAATGCGACAAGAGGGAACGTAAGGTCACACGGTTGAAAGGGCTTGTCCTCCACATCCAGAACCCGCTCAAGCTCGGTCCGGTATGTTTTGACAACGCCATCACGCCATCAGGATAATGGAACACGAACTGTAAATAACTAATTGTAACTACTCGTAATACTGGAACGACTGGAGTCAGATTTATCGTACAAGTGTCATGTAGATCAACTACAAGAAGTTGCCCCGCAGGGCTGTAAACTATGCTACAATACAAGAAGTTACATTTCAATTGCCCTGTGTACACGCTACACGTGCGAAAGGCTAGTCTTCCGGGCCCAACGCGATCGAGAGTTGACCGCGGATCACATAGGACCGCCAAATCTGGAGTCAAGACGCACATCGTTTTGGTGGTGCGTAGATCTACTTATGACCTCGGGTTGACTCCTGTACTGCTGTAGTGTAAATCCTCATGAGCTCAGTGTACGTGCATGCTACGCTTGACGGCCTGATGCGGCCAGGGTGTACATGTACCATGCATGCAGTGTACGTGTGTGCTTACTCTACGTGCCCTTTATCGAAAGACCGGTCATTTTTTTCCCAGCTTCCTCGATCTACATTGTACAGTATTCACGTAGATGTCTCTCAATCGAGTCTCTCGTGCTTTCGCTCGTTTCCATTGTTGACTCGCGTATGTATTTTTGATAGGATCTAGGAGAGACCGATGCTGCTTTGGTGGAAGGTGAGGTCGTGCATTGAACGATCTTTGTCACAAGTCCAAGTCCTGGCCCTCTGAAATTTTTTACACCGGTTTTGCATGAATCACGTGGACCATCCAGCTGGAAAAAGTGGTCCGACGATGGCCGGACTAGCCGGACCGGTTTCGGCGGCCCTGTATCTTATGCTGACCTTTCGCTCAAACATCCAGTCAACTTTCCTATCATGCAGGTGGTTTACATTGGGCATATATTAAGCCTCACTTATACCTCGAATAAGCCTCGCATAAACTCAATAATTATATACCTCATAGTTATTAATACAGGTGGAATCCTGATAATTCGAATATGGCTTAATTCGAACATACCGCTTAATTAGAAGTTTTTCCAGGACCGATTTCTATCAATACGATTCCCACATAAAATTTTCTGATAATTCGAACCTCGAACTGGACATGTCCGGATAATTAGAAGTCCCACAGATTCCACTTACGTAGAAAATGTGTGGGGTTTGTGCTGATAATTCGAAGTTCACCGTACACTGTACTGGTCAGTTCAGTTTGCACGAGCAGGCTGTGCCGGTCAGTCAGTTCAGTGTCCGTAAAATCTGTGTCTAAGGTTCATAGCGTAACTCTGCGTGACTATGAGAGCATTTCGACATACATATTGTGTTGTGGGTTCATGTTCGGATAATTAGAATGTCCGGATAATTAGAAGTTTTTTCCTGGCATTTTGAGGTTCGAATTATCAGGATTTCACCTGTAATATTATGTTGTGGTCCGATGGGTGGAGACGCATTTATCCATGGACATCCCCACCCACATCAAGGGGGAGTCGGCACAGCATGGCCAAGAATTGTCCGCAGAGCTCGCTTGACGAGAGCAATCATTCTCTCGTAGGTGCCACCCATGCACGTAGCATGACTTTAAACTACAAAGCATGCTCAACACTTTTAAATGTCCCGTCTGTGCCTCGGGAGGCAATAGAGCACACGACTTTCGGATCTCCACGATGACTTCACTCCACGCTTGGCCAATAGCCATCTTGGTAGTCTGGAACTGGGCCTGGGGCGCGTTATTCAACCACATTGCTTGTAGTAAGCCATCCCTGTGGCGACGAATCTTCAAAAGGCAAGAAGGAACAGTTGTGTGGTCATGTCTTAGACGAGTTCGAGATAATTATATTGCTTGTATTGTTAGACAGGTGATATATTGCTTGTATTGTTAGACAGGTGAACGGCACAGTCCACCCCTTCACTGGAGCTTCTCGGTTTCACCAGCAATTGACCAAAGTAGTCGTTCCCGGTATGCTTCAGCCACATTTACTCTCTCAGGCAGCAAGGGTGCCATGGCTGGCATGCGTAAGAGTTTGATGATGTTCTTTGATGATGTGAGGTTTGGTGATGAGTTGCTCGGAAGTAAGATAAGAAACTTTGTGTTATTTGCTTTCGTGCGTGCATGTGTGACCGCAACATAATATTGTCTGCACAGGGCTTTGATGCAGCAGTGAAGAAAGACCAGCATCTGGCTGTGGCGTATTTCCAGCGTGGCATAGCCCATCACTATCTCAACAGGTTGGTTCCAGTATTTTGTTTGCTGATTATTTATCTCGATTGTCAGTTGCACTGTGAATGCGCATAATCATATTCTGTTTCGAATGTTCTTCTAAAATTGAATACCCAAGCACAGTGCTAGCAAGTGAAGTCTGGAACGCTGTCTACTTTATTAGAGCCACAGACCTTGTGTATGTCTGCTGGGAAAAGTGCCCGGGATGATGCATGGGTCGAATGTCTTTCCGGGCTCTAAGTCAACATCAACCTGGATTTCATTTGCCACAACTGTAGTGTAGCAGATCAAATTTCATGGATCTCTCTCTCTGTCTCTCTCTCTCTCTCTCACGCACACACACACACACACACACACACACACACACACACACACACACACACACACACACACACACACACACACACACACACGCTCTCTCTCCCTCTCTCTCTCTCTCTCTCTCTCTCTCTCTCTCTCTCTCTCTCTCTCTCTCTCTCTCTCTCTCTCTCTCTCTCTCTCTCTCTCTCTCTCTCTCTCTATCCACCACCCCCATCCATCCCCCTCATACACAGCGATATGGATGCCGTGTCGGACTTCGATGAGGCACACCATCGAATGCGTGGTACGCGGGTGATTGACTACCGTCAGCTAGGAATGCCGTGCAAGCTTTATGAATGTGATGTAAGTCAGAGCTGGATCAGGTGGCGTTGCTTACTCTGGGGGGTTATGTACTCTTGATATTACCATACATGTAGGGAAGGTACAGCATATTACCATTCATTAGGGGAGGGTGCTGAGCCATAGAAGCTAATGGTCATGTTCATGATAGGCACACTGCATGTACCTGTATTTGCTACCGGCGTGTCTGATACTCCGACAACCACACCAATCTACCAGTACATGTATCATCTACCCTTTTGTTGTTGGTGAGCACACAGGTAGTTTGTATGGATAGATTACTATAGTTGCCTGGGTGTCTATCTATCTATCTATCTATTTATCCATCCATCCATCTATCTATTTATCCATCCATCCATCTATCTATTTATCCATCCATCCATCTATCTATTTATCTATTTATCCATCCATCCATCTATCTATCTATCCTTCTTTCTACGCGTATGTGCAGGTCCTATTGAATTCTGCTGTGACATATGCCAAGCTTGGTCGATCATCTGAAGCACAAGACCGGGTCAGTGATGCACAAGATGCACAGATTGAGAAACGGCACGAGCAGCAATGTCGAGACGTGTCATCAGCAATCCGGGTGGGTACTGCTGCTGCTGCTGCTGCTGCTGCTGCTGGACACAATATTTTTTATTTCTTCTGCTGCTGGATAAATCATCTAGCCTGGCCGGATACAACCCCTCGTGCCTTGGTATCAGAGTAGAACTTTTCTTCTCAAGTTTTTCTTTTCAACAGGTTATCCTTTCTGATTGGTTTCTGTTTGACTTATTGTTTTTAAATTATTTTATTCTTACGATGGCCCATGGCCAATAAGATAAGTTGTTGTTGTTGTTCCTTATTCTAAAAGAACTCAGATGGTGAGCCAAGGAAAAAATTGTAACATGGAGAAATGTGTTTTCCTCGGCTCGATGGCGCTTACGGAGCCCTCTTTGGAATTAGCACATATCCATGAACCTTCCAAGTTGTAAGGCCGTTGGTTAGCGCTATCGAGCAGTCCTCAAGCTGACTTTCATACCGTGGAATGTCTCAGTACTCCTTGTCAGTTTTGTGCTAGATTGTGCACGTCTGACTGTTCAAAATCTGGTGTAGTTGGTGGACTCGATCGCATACTAGTAACTTGTGCCCACATTTTTCCATGTTACGAAATTCTTTATTCTCGTTGTTTTTGAAATATGTTTTTATTCTCACGATGGCCTGTGGCCAATAAGAGAATGTTGTTGTTGTTGTTGTTGTTGTCGTTGTCGTTGTCGTTGTCGTCGTCGTCGTTGTTGTTGTTTGAATTCTTTATTCTCACGATGGCACCATCGCCAATAAGAGTTGTTGTTGTTGTTGTCGTTGTTATGTTTCTAGCAAGGTGGAAGGGGTTGTAGTATCATAACTATGCCCGATGCTGCTCTCTTCCGCCCAGCCAAGCAAAAAGTGGCAAATATCAAGAAAAAGAATCATCTTGGTGATGCGAAGGTGAGTTTCCAGTTGCGCCTTTAAATTGAGTGTGCACTGATACCTCAGTTGTCCGGACATCGAAGTTTCAAGCCAGGATAGAAAGAAAGAGATACGAATAGACATGTACACATAGGCTGAGAGAAATGAATGCTTGTGACAATCATCATGTGCTAGTACAAGAGTAGTATGTATACAGCTGGTTCTACAGTTGGCACATACCCTGCCCCCAAAAAGGGGGTGTTATTGATAATACCGTAAAAGTCCGTAAATAAGTACGTATTTACTTTCGAATTTAGTGACCACACCCGTACTAACTTTCGGGCGGGTACTGACTTTCGGGCACGAACTAACTTTCGGACCTGACTTGTGTGTAGTGGAGAAGTCATTTGTCATGTTGATGTACATGCTACGTGCTGCATGTGCGCACCGTACCGGTACTTATTTCGGGCAGTATGTTTATCGGGCTTGACTTGACTTCAACAGACAGAGCCAAAAGAATGAAGGGGGTATTTCTTTCGGGCAGGTACTTATTTACGGACTTTTACGGTACTGTAAAACCGGGCATTTTCGGTGGTGTACTATTTTCGGTATTTCCCAAACTCAACGGTTTGGTAGCGCGAAAATTTTGGTAAACCAGTTTTCCAGATCCAAAAATGCATTTTGCACACTGTGTGGCATGGCATGGTTGAATTTTAGGTCCTGTTTTATTTTAGATAAAAAATTACCTGTACCGAAGTTGTGAAAAGAAGAAGGACAAAATGTTACCAGTTATGACTAACTGTCCACCAACGTAACCAGATCTTATACAGTCAGCGAGTGCGACAAAACATTTTGTCCTTCTTCTTTTCACAATTATTTAATTGGCTCACCATCCGAGTTACATTTTGTACCGAAGTTACCGAAAATAAATCTCCACCGACATTTTCTGGTTTTACAGTAACCCATTTTTTGTCTATTTTCCGGGCGTCCGGTTCTTTTACGTAAAAATGATTTTGGTGGGGTTGGATGTGATCTTAGTTGGCTCTGAAAAACTCCTATTGAAAACTCATTGTTTTCATCATTTTTAACTGCATTTTCAATTTTTTTGGCTCATAGTTTCCTGAGTGATAGGACCTGTGGCATGTCACCGATACGACTAATCCTCCACTTTCGTCGTCGACTCAAGCAGGTTCTCTTGCCATTTCTTTTCGTCTGCACGGTGGCAATGGTTTTGTTAGGTCTGTCAGGAAGACCTTACAAGTAGTGCAGCTCTCTTGTTTGACGACTCCCTGGATCATGGAGTGTTTATCCTGAAAAATTCGCCGATAACCGAACTATGCTGAACACGCCGAGATAAAGCGCTGGAGCTAGGGTCCAGCTGATAATGCTCTGAAATCTTTTGTATAATGCTAACCACAATGCTCCAAACCTATCTTATAATGCTATTATAATGCTTCAGTATTAAAGGTTTATAACGCTCTTGATCTGGGACAAAAAGGGAGAAAGGCTGCACATTGTCAAACTTCCAGGAAGGGATGCACATAGTCAATCTGCCTCTGAAGCTGCCACAATATCTCTGACCAGCTCCAACACCTCTTAGTACTATAAGACATGATCACTTCTCTAGTGGCTGCTCTCCATTGCAACTTTGATGCAGGGCTGTGGCTGAATAGTGTGTGTATCAAATCTTTTCCCCTCATTATCCAGGTAGTGAGAGGTGAAAGCGATTATTGCTGGTGATCGTTGGGATGAAGTTAATCTTGGCCAGTGGTATTCCTACCTTCAGTCAAGCTGCCCCTGGTTCCACTGCTTCCACTCTGTGAACAGTCTCTTCATCGGAAACAGTAGACGTTAGGCCAGTTCCTCAGAGCCAATTTCGGATCGAGATCCCTCCTATTTGCGGAAAGCCTGAAAACATGTAGTCAGAAGTTATTTTGCCGCTCTACATCCTTTGCTTGTGCTGTCTTCTTCTCCTTGTGGTGTTGTGCAGACAAATGGTTGGCCACAATACTCTTCTTTTTTGATAGCACTTGACTGCAGGCTTGGCATTACAACCACTAACTTTACGTGCTTCGCCAAGAAAGTCAGACACGCGGTGCTGAGTGCTCGCATGGACTTGGTACTGAGTCCATGAGTAATTCTAGTTCTTTTCGAGCTTGCTGGGCGAGTGGACTCGGTAAAGGCAGTTCTTTGGAATGAGCTCTTTCTGTTTATAGCCGCGTCTTCACCCTGGTTCAAATTTATCAATGAATCAGTGCCTACTTCAATATCGCTAGAGACGCTATCACCAGAGCCTGAGGCATATCGAGAAAACTCCTCTTCGTCTGTTTGATATTCACTTCGCGTACGTCTCTGCCATGGCTCTCCATGATTTCTAAAATACCTGCTTGTAAACCATCGTTTCGGATTTGTGTAACAACTTTGTTTGGGCATGCTATAATCTACATGAATACCTGACTGCATTGCTGCTAAAAGTGTTATGTATCTACACAAAGTCATGCACATGTACCGTAAAGTACCGTTGATCCACCCCCTCTCTAATTCCCGCCCCCTGTCGATTTTTCTACTTGTGAAGCGACTTCGGCGTATACAACGAAAAACGATGTTGAACCGACGCATGCACTGCTATACACAATGCGTGCCAATCCAAGATGAAAATGTGCACAATTCAGCACATCGAGTTTGATCCTTAACGTTGTTGTACATCGTACTGTACTTGACAGCCTTGATCTAATTCCCGCCCCCTGCCGAAAACCCAGCTAGGAAGCGACATGGCGTGGGGGGGGGGGGGGGGATCAACGGTATGTTACGGTACAGGTATAATGCATGGCACGCGCAGCATTCTAACAGACCAGCTGGAAGCATTTCAGACACGATGAGGGTTGCACCTCATGACTGTAGCCGATTGTTGCGAAAAACCTTGGATTTCCCGATATTAGAGAGGTTGCATACAGTGTAATAATTAGTGAGTAAAAAGTACTACAGGTAGACTCCCTTTAATTCGAACCTCAAATTGCCAGGCCCTAACTTCGAATTATCCAGAACTTCTAATTATCCAAATGCAGCCCCATGCACTGATATGTATGTCAAAATGCTTGAAATCGCATGCTGAATATTTTTGCACATTTTTATTTGCATCAACGAAACATAGGTGGTCGTACCGGTCGTGTACAACGGATCATCAACAAACTGGATCGACACAAAATCATTTTGACATCTTCATTTTCTAGTGAAGAAGTTGTCAGTCACTGCAGCTTTCCTGAAACAGTTTCAACGGAAAAGAACTGCGCTGCCTAATCCACGTCATGAAAGGCCGTCGGACAGCAGCATGTCATTCTGAAGAACGGAAGTGGAGCATAGGCATAGACTATATTTACGACAATAGTGTTTTTGTGCCCCAACATCTCCTCGCACGAGCTGGCGCGGCAAGAAAGGCCATCGAGATCCGCGAAGAGAGTCAGCCACCTGGAAGACGTCGTCTTCAATCAAACCTTTGCAATTTGCCTCGCACGGGCTTGAAAGAAATTCCGAGAGAAGGTGGGTTTCTTGAACGCTATAGTCGATCCTGCAGCGGACCATCGATCGATTTTTGAGCTACTCTTGGCTAGAGAAGGAGAAAAGAATGAACTTCGAATTACAAGGATAGCAACTCAATCTCACTTCGAAATAAGCATTCAAAGGACATAGCCAATGTACTGTAAATAGCTCTTCTGTACGAAGACTGGGTTCGAATTATCCAACCGGCGCACTTTTCGTACTTCGAATTATGCATTCGATTTTGACTTGAAGTGACTTGCAGAAGATCGGTACGACGAAAAAGTTCGAATTACACGGAATGTTCGAATTATACCGTGTTCGAATTAGAGGGAGTCTACCTGTACTAAAAACGTAATCGATCTACGGAAAGTCTTGTGTGCACTGCTTGCAGATCCGTGTTTCGCCATACGGAGTTTTCAAATCACGTAGCTGCCGTTGGCAACTCCAAACACGACAGTGTACGGCCTAGGGAGAGAGTCATGAATGTATACTCCAATCCACTTACGGAACACCTCCATTAGTAGAGCTCCATTCACCTACTCTACGTAGGCAACCTTGCGTAAGTGGAGTGCAAACTCGCGAATTCACGGGTTTCCCTGGCCACTTTACGTAGTGCGGAACCTCTATAGTATCTACTAAGAACCCCGTAATGCCACTCACACCTAATGCCCGTAATGCCACTCACACCTAATGCTCCATAATACTCTGATGCTCTAATAGTCTCAAAATGCCGAATACAATGGCGGCATTATGCGCTGCACCCTAGCCGGAGCCTCGTCGTCGTGTCGTGGGGATTGACAGTTAGGGATTACATGTACTTGGGGCACAAACATTCTAACAATGACATTAGACATAACGAGCTGGTGGTAAGCAATGCTGATGATGATGAACAGCAAGTCAGGGTGCACTATACTCCAGCGAGTACTGTATTCGTTGTTTTTGAATAAGATACTTATCTGCCGGGATATTCTACAGCCCACCCCCTTTCTGCTAGTACCTGGATTGTTTCTATTTTGAATTTTATGGACGGCCCTCATTATAAGGCAAGGTGTGCGACTGGCACCCTCCATCCGTACGGTTCAGTAAAGTATGTGTATGTGAGTGTATGTTCAGGAAAGTATGGGTCAGTTTATGCACAGACAGCTATCAGACTAGTGTACGGGTACATAATGACCTGTGAGATTGAGAAGCACAAGAGCCACTGAAAAGTCTTTTGCACACACACGCACACCACACACATACACACACGCGCACACACATGTGCACGCGCGCGCGCGCGCGCACACACACACACACACACCAAAAACACGCAAAATCAAATAGCTGATCCGCCACAGCGTCGATTGCCATAGAATAGCAAAGCACAGCAGTGAACACAATCAGCCGACATTTGGCTTTTTTTCATTGTTTTGTGTATTTCATATTCAGGTATTATCATCAGTCATCGATCAGGACCAGTTTGCCGGCTTTATGGGCAAAAAGGTGAGTTACCCGAGCAGCCACTGGCATTGTGAACTCTCCGATGTTGTTTATAACCCTTTGAGAGGCACAGATAAGTTGTGGAAGTATTCTGTCGTCGTTTTCTTCTCCACTACGGCAATTTTGTTGTTGTGAAAATTGCATTTCTTTGTGCGAAAAAGCGTATTCCGGGCATTGGTCACAGTGTGGATTTGACTGAATTGTTCAGAAATCTGAATGGTACATGTACCGTAAAGTACCGTTGATCCCCCCCCCCCCCCCCCCCCACGCTATGTCGCTTCCCAGCTGGGTTTTCGGTAGGGGGCGGAAATTAGATCAAGGCTGTTAAGTGCAGTACGATGTACAACAACGTAGAAGTTCAGACTCGATGTGCTGGATTGTGCACATTTTCATCCTGGATTGGCAAGTATTGTGTACAGCAGTGCATGCGTCGGTTCAACATCGTATTTCGTTGTATACGCCGAAGTCGCTTCACGGGTAGAAAATTGACAGGGGGCGGGAATTAGAGAGGGGCGGATCAACGGTACTGGTACTTTACGGTACTTTACGGTACTTGACGGTACTTTACGGTACTTTACGGTACTTTACGGTACTTTACGGTACTTTACGGTACTTTACGGTACTTTACGGTACTTTACGGTACTTTACGGTACTTTACGGTACTTTACGGTACTTTACGGTACTTTACGGTACTTTACGGTACTTTACGGTACTTTACGGTACTTTACGGTACTTTACGGTACTTGACGGTACTTGACGGTACTTTACGGTACTTTACGGTACTTTACGGTACTTTACGGTACTTGACGGTACTTTACGGTACTTTACGGTACTTGACGGTACTTGACGGTACTTTACGGTACTTTACGGTACTTTACGGTACTTTACGGTACTTTACGGTACTTTACGGTACTTTACGGTACTTTACGGTACTTGACGGTACTTTACGGTACTTTACGGTACTTTACGGTACTTTACGGTACTTTACGGTACTTTACGGTACTTTACGGTACTTTACGGTACTTTACGGTACTTTACGGTACTTTACGGTACTTGACGGTACTTTACGGTACTTTACGGTACTTTACGGTACTTTACGGTACTTTACGGTACTTTACGGTACTTGACGGTACTTTACGGTACTTTACGGTACTTTACGGTACTTTACGGTACTTTACGGTACTTTACGGTACTTTACGGTACTTTACGGTACTTTACGGTACTTTACGGTACTTTACGGTACTTTACGGTACTTTACGGTACTTTACGGTACTTTACGGTACTTGACGGTACTTTACGGTACTTTACGGTACTTTACGGTACTTTACGGTACTTGACGGTACTTTACGGTACTTTACGGTACTTTACGGTACTTTACGGTACTTTACGGTACTTTACGGTACTTGTACTTGTACTTGTAAACTGCAGCAGCTACATGTAGTTGGCAGTAGGAGGTAATTGCAAGGACACATGCGAAGCCAGGCTATCAGATTATTTGAGAACTGCGACTCAATGGTTTATGTGTATATGTGTGTTTCTTGTGCTGTGTGTTTTTTCTTCCATTCTGTTGGGACAGGAGCTTGAAGATGGTGGCAGTTCACCACCAGTATCCAGATCGCCACGCATTCGCTCTCCACGTTTTGGACGGCGCAGCGACATTCAGTATCGTGCTATCTACAGCTTTGAGCCCAATACTAATCTTGAGGTGGCACTCCGTGTTGGTGATATCTGTGTGGTCAAAGAGAAGGATGCCGATGGATGGTTTACTGTCACCAACATTTCGACAAGCAAGGTTAGATCTCTCACTTTCTATGTACTTACATCTATCTCAAATATCATGTATGCTCAACCATTTTATTTGAAAGGGGGCGACCAAAACTTGAAGGGAGGAGAGCCACGTTCTGTCGCTTTGTCTACACGCCTGGCAAACCTGCTGTTCTTCTTTTCTGTTGTTTCAGTTGTGATGATGTGTACCAGGGGCGTCACCGGACCCCTTCACAGGGGGGGGGGGGGGGGGGGGGGGGGGGTGCACAGGAAAAAATTTGCACAGGAATTTTGCCCAGCCATGATGGCATCGATAACAAACTCGAAAGCATAATTAATAGCATTGCAAGAAGGGCTGGCCCATTTAGCCTCGCTCCACCCATAGTGCTGCGCATATACGTCTTCAGACGTCGCAGGCCACTGATGCTACGTTCACAGGAGCAGGTCGTCACAGGCAGAGATGCAAGCAGAAGCAATAGCGTTGCTACACCATGGCACAGGCTGTCCGCTGCAAGCTTCGCGGCGTCAACTAGTGCTACTGGACGGCTGCCTGCAGGACAAGCTGTCAGGACAGCATGCCAGTTGTCCAGCTCTGCACGAAAGCTTCTCAAGCTGCATCCATCTGGCAGGTCATCTTCGCTGGATGTGGCAAAATCCATGGCACGCTCCTTGGCTTCATCGGGGTTTGCCAGCAGTAGACTAGGGAGAAGGTGCATTCCATGCGCGATCTTCTGCTGCAGTGGACCAAACCGCTGATCGAACTGGCCCAGAAGCTCATCCAACAGGGAACTGTGACTGCCCGACGGTAATAATCCTCGGGAGTTGCAGCCGGGACGTTGTTTCGGTGCTTCTGGCGGCCACAGGTACGGGGCTTTGATGGAACAACATCAACAGTGGCAGCCATATCAATAGCCTCCTGAAGCCAACGGCGGTGTCGAGCATCAATTTCTGTACACGCTGTGTTGAGGCTGGCTCTGGTTGCGTCAATCTGGCTGTAAGCCTGGCAAACGTCGAGCGCTTTCTCTTGAAGGCTAGAAGACAGACTCTGAACGTAGGCCATGATGTTGGCTGTGATCGTGAACGCACTGATGAACGAGAAATCGGTGATGGCCCTGAGCAGTGAGGAAGCAGCGCTGCAGCTGTCGGCTTTCCACTGTGCACGGTCATTTGCGATGTCCTCGAGCGTGGTCACGACAGCTGGGTACAGGTTGCTAAAGCTGACCGGTGCTGTGTGGCGTTGGACCCAGCGGGTTTTGCATAGGCTGACCAACTTCAACTTGCGGGAGTCATGGATGGCGTCACTGGGTGTAGTCTGGATGACTGCCGTCAACTTTTGCTGTCGCTTCGGGCTGTTCTCAAAGAAGAACGACACTTGCTGAAGCATTGTCCACATGTTGGACACCAGCGCAATCGCTGAGATTGCCATTACGCACAAATTCAGGGCATGAGAGTTACAGTGGCAGTACAGTGCCTTCAGGTATTCCCGCTGGATCACTGCAGCGCACCCATTGAGCATGCCAGCCATATCGGCCGCGCCATCGTATCCTTGGCCGCGGCACTTGCTGAGGTCTACATTCCAATGCCACAGACAATCAAGGATCTTGTTCGTGAGAGCAACTCCAGTAGTTCCGTGTCACAGGTCACAAATCCCATGAACTCTTCATGGACCTCGTAATTCTCAACAAATCGGAGAACCGCAGGCATCTGTACAAGATTGGACGTATCTGTTCCCTCATCGGCCAATAAGCTGAAGAATGGTGCTGCGCGAACTCTATCCAGGACTGAGTCACGTATGAATTGACCACAGCAGTCGATCAGCTCATTCTGGGACGTTGCGGAGCAGTAATGCACTCTGTTCCCTCCAGTTCCACTGGCATGCAGGTGGAAGTCTCGGAGAATAGCAGGATCTCCAGCTTTAGCACGGAACTCCAACAGCGCAACGAAGTTGCCAGGATTGCCACCTTCGTCACTGAATAGCAAGACATCATTGTTGGACTGCTGAACATGAATAGTTTCATTGCAATGGCCACGTAACGGAATATTCTGTTTGCCACAGAAGATTACGCAATCCAAGATACTCCTCAGTTTCTCCTCATTGTCTTTGGCTTGTAGAAGATGATCGTCAACCATCTGATCTGCCACATCAGCCCCGCCAGCTGCGACAACGGTCTGGAAATTTCCATACTTTGCCATCGCATATAAATGTGACTTCTGCTTCTCATGCTTCTCCAGGAGAGTGGTGGCTTTCTTGAAATTGACCAAGGGCTTCGGTGTCAGCTGCCCATGATCAGCACCAGATGGAAACAGCAAGCATGGTAGACAGAATCCTCCATCGCACCTCGGGGAGTACACGAGTCAAGCGTGGTCGGTAAGCCACTGGATACGAAAGCGTCGTGGTCGGTAAGCCAGGGACTGGGTGACATGGGAAAGCGTACTTGGGCCCAGGGACAAAGTGAAAATTAATCAGATCAATCTTCCTCTCCTGAGAAGTCGACGATGGATGTGTGGACCATTTGGAATTCTCCTAATCAAAATCCTCAGCAGCGGCAATGTCGTTGTCAACCTGGACAACCGGTTCCTCTTCAACCTGGACAACAGGTTCCGCTTCAACAGGACTGCGTGCCGGTTCTTCGTCAGGTCCCTCATCGTCCGATTCCCCTGGCCCAGTTGCAACAGGAATGGCTTCGTCGCCTCGCCTCGCTCCAGGGTTCGCATTCCTCCGAAAAAGTCCGCTGATAGTGAGCTGGCCAGACGCTTTCCTTTTCGAGAAGACGACATTTTGAGAGGAAACAGCTCCAAAGACTCTTCAAGTGTGGTGACCTGACTAACTTACTTGCGACCACACTGAATTATTTATTTCTTCTGTTTCAAACACCCAGCACGCCGCCGCGCGTGTAGATTCTAGTACAAGGCCAAATGATGCAGTGCTGCACACACGTGCACGCGTACGCGCGTAGTAGGTAAGTACTAAATTAGTAGCAGTAGTACTAGAGTACTAGTACGACCCGTCATGTACATGCACTCGCTACATGCACTCACGCGATCGCGGCAGCGCAGTACAACTAGTTTTAGTGCATGCAGTTTATTAGTAGATTCTACCAGCACTACACTTTTCATAACCAGGAGTTCGCAAAAAACCAAGGTCGAATTTTTTAGGGGGGTGCACGTCCCTGTGTACATCTGTGTGAACCCTCTGTACTTTCTGTACTTCCTGTACTTTCTGTACAGTCTGGCCTGGCACCTGGCTCATATCTAGAACCTATTGAGGGAAGTCTCAGTCCCAGTACTTCACAGGTACGGTGTGTGTGTGCGTGTTCGTGTGTGTGCGTGTGTGTGTGTGCGTGTGTGTGACTCTGTGTGTGTGTGCGTGTGTGTGTGCATGTGTGTGTGTGCGTGTGTGCATATGTGTGTGTGTGTGTGTGTGTGTGTGTGTGTGTGTGTGTGCGTGTGCATGTGTGCGTGCATGTCACGAAAGCACGTACCGGTACATTCTTGTAGCAATAATGTCCATGACCTGTATGTCCTCTCACTGACAGGGTGCTTGAGTTGCAACTATTTGTTGGCTTCTGGCAATGTTCTGGCTATGGCAATGGTCAAACGGATGTTCCGGGTACGTGCATGTAAGCCACGGGTATTGTTAACAAATGGCGCGTGTGAGTGTTGATTACCAGTTTGTTCAGTGAAGGTACGCCAGTTTGTCTACTAGCTTCTTAAGTTGTGTTTGTGTGCTCTCTACTCTTGTCATGTCTCTATTCTGACTGTCAACCATGTGACCGATGTCGATGGGCCACCAGAAACGGAAGAAGTCAGACCAGTTGAAATTTCTTGGCGTTGGAAAGAAATCAGCCGGTGACGACGCACATCCTGTAGCTGAGAAGAAGGCTGCACCAATGAAAGCGGTTGGTACATCTACCTCTGCATCTACACTCATGTCTCTCTTGTGTGAGCGCTAGATGACCGGACACTGTCCATAACTTTGAAATGTCCCTAACTCTGAATCACATTGTCTTTCAATGGGAACGACCAGACATCTGGCATATGACATCACTATTTCCGCAATTTTTTTACAAAATAGTAGTAAAATTTTCACTAAACCTCACCCACAGGGTGCCTGGTAGACTGAGGTGCCCATCACTACGAAGTCCAGATAAGAGAGATATGTGTGGACTGGTATCTCTATATATTATACATGTGTTAGAACACACCCATCTGCACGCACACATCTGCACGACATCAAGAGCATTGAGTTGTGGGGACGTGCGTGGTTTGTCAATCGCTGTTTGTCAGGCTCGCAGTGAATATTAGTGTTACTAGTGGCAGTATGAGTGACCCTGCCACATACTTTGAGAGCCCAGTGTGCTGGGTGAGTGAGCCACACTACACTGTAGCAACATGAGCCTGGTCCGAATCTCACCTTGCTGTGCTGGAGGCAGTGCACATTGCCAAGCTGAAGCCTGAACTGTGTGTGCAAAGGAAGTATGTGCGAAAGTTGTCACTGTTTTGAAATTGTCGTACCGTGGTCCCCACTGTTGTTTGATACTAGTAATATTCATTGTAGTACCATGGTCCCCACTGTTGTTTGATACTAGTAATATTCATTGTAGTACCATGGTCCCCACTGTTGTTTGATACTGGTAATATTCATTGTAGTACCGTGGTCCCCACTGTTGTTTGATACTAGTAATATTCATTGTAGTACCGTGGTCCCCACTGTTGTTTGATACTGGTAATATTCATTGTAGTACCGTGGTCCCCACTGTTGTTTGATACTAGTAATATTCATTGTAGTACCGTGGTCCCCACTGTTGTTTGATACTGGTAATATTCATTGTAGTACCGTGGTCCCCACTGTTGTTTGATACTAGTAATATTCATTGTAGTACCGTGGTCCCCACTGTTGTTTGATACTGGTAATATTCATTGTAGTACCGTGGTCCCCACTGTTGTTTGATACTAGTAATATTCATTGTAGTACCGTGATCCCCCACTGTTGTTTGATACTAGTAATATTCATTGTAGTACCGTGATCCCCCACTGTTGTCTGATACTGGTAATATTCATTGTAGTACCGTGATCCCCCACTGTTGTCTGATACTGGTAATATTCATTGTTTCACCATGTAGTTGGCGCCACTAGCGCTATCTTTTAAAGTGCTAATTTGTCAATGCTCTGACCGCCAAAGTGCCGGTTATAAGGACTTGCTTGATACCTTGTTAATCACCATTGTATTCGACTTGAAAAGTAATGGTACGAAAGGCCTAGTCGAAACGATATGGCTTCTGTGCTTCGTGTGCTGAATACCAATATTGTATTGGTAATGAATTGATCACTCAATCATCTGATGTTATATCTATCCTGCCTACTCTGTACTGTGGTGCCTACTGCAGCTTCCTGTTCCTGGTGGTCCCAAGCGTCCAGCTGGTGGACCGCCACCTAAAGTTCAGCCTCCCAAATCTCCTGGCCCAACAGTAGCTGTGAAGCCTAAACCTCCAACAGCTGCAAAGGTACTAGCCGGTGTAATGTGTGGGTGTGGGTGTGTGTACATGTGTGTGTGTACATGTGTGTGGGTGTGTACATGTGTGTGTACATGTGTGTGTACATGTGTGTGGGTGTGTACATGTGTGTGGGTGTGTACATGTGTGTGGGTGTGTACATGTGTGTGGGTGTGTACATGTGTGTGGGTGTGTACATGTGTGTGGGTGTGTACATGTGTGTGGGTGTGTGGGTGTGTGGGTGTGTACATGTGTGTGGGTGTGTGTGGGTGTGTGGGTGTGTACATGTGTGTGGGTGTGTACATGTGTGTGGGTGTGTACATGTGTGTGGGACGTCCGTGCGTATGTGCTGGTGCTCTTTTAACCCTTTCCGTGCTAATGACGTCTATAGACGTCATGCGCACTGTACGCCAAACGACTAATGACGTCTATAGACGTCATGAGATTTGCGCAGTATATCGCTGTGCATAGATCAGTGTACAAACTTTCGTAACTCTGTCAAAAATCAGTCTATCGCGACAATCGATACATCGTTGGAAAGGTATTGAGCTCAGCTTTCCAGCAATATAAAGTTCTTCACGATAGGAGAAAGATTGACGGAGCGGCGACGGTGTGAACACAAAATTCACGGCACTGAGCGATCGTGAGTTTTTTTTGTTCGGGCGTTCGCAGTTTTCTGTTGCGTGCCAGGGGATTTCCCTTTAGTGCAGCGCATGCGTAATGGACACCAGCAAAAGCACGTGGATCTCAGCTTTGCAGCGCAGTTTGAATAGTGAAAATCGGCTGACCTGGAACAAGAAACCGAAAAAGAATGTGAGATCGAGTTGCTGTGCCTTTCCGAGGCATCGTGAAGTAGTTTCAACAGGACATAGAAGTTGCACCGCCATGCATATTGAGTTGAGAGCTACCAGGATGGATTCGCTTGGTCCTGATCTTTCCAACAAGCCCAGGATGATGAAAATCCATCCAGGCAAACTGAACTGAGAGAAAAATTCGTTCGGACATGTGAGCGAAAACGACACCAGGAGAGTCAGTGCGCTGGAAAGTCAGTTTGCTGGAGTAAAAGGGGCCAGCACGGAAAGGGTTAAGTTATACGCCTTATGCACATTGAACAGATGTATGAAATCCTGTTGAATCAGGTAAACCCGGCTGGCTGTTGAATGTACAGACTCCATAGGGTTTACTGCTATTTCCAATACGAAACATGCCCTGAAGGTGGAATAATTCAATGATGAAATTCGCATTGACTACACACATTGAATGAACACCTGGCCGGGAATGTGCACCCGTACGGGATTTCGTACACCTACATGTATACAATGTGTATAAGGCACTATTGCTAATGTACTACATGTCATGCTCACTCAATCTGGCGGCTAATTTGATTTTTTAGCAATCAGGGGGTACTTGAAAAAGAACACCGGATCACTATTGACCCGGTTGGGAGTATGCATGTGGGGTACTTTGTTTGTGCTTCAAGGCCCAAGGGCCTACATACAGTGACAGGCTGCAGGCGCGTGCAGACACCGGTGTGCGGATAGAGTGCCCAGGCCAGTACACATTGTTCATACTCAAGTACACCAGGGAGTCGTATACATATTTACGACTCCCTGGTGTACATGCAGTAGCTGCACTTGAACGTACCCGCCTCTGACCCGGTTGCAAGAGCTGCGACATGTACACGTGTACCCAGTTGGTTTGAAATCCTAGAGCGAATACTGCATAATTCTATTGACTGATTAGGAATGCTTATTGACTCCTTATATTGACTCGTTTTGGGGAATCAAGAAGTCGCGTGCAAGACACACACAGCCACAAAAAGCAACAGCACGAAAACCAGTAGTTGTGTCAGTAAAAAGAATACACACTACAAGTACAGAGACTAGAAAGCAAATCTAGGCAGCCAGAAGGCAGCCGAAAGAAAACTCAAAAACTCAGAAGCTTAAAAAAAGTTGCAAATTCATTGCCTGTTTGGTCGAACGACTATAAATAAAAGCACAACAAACAACAACAACATTTCTTGGTTTCTTGTTCAACTTTAGGGAGAAAGGGAAACTAGCAAACTACGCTTCTGTGGATGCAGCCATGAATTGATGTTGACTACATTGAAAGTTACATTGGTGCAATCTTTCTGAACACGACCCTTTTTACATCAGCAAAAGAGGTAGTGTCATCTTCATTGCCTTCATTGGCAGCAACAGAATCCGAGTTACAGAGTCTGAGCGAACACTTTCACAAGCATCATTGCAATCAGGAGCAGATTTACAACTAGCACTCTTATCATGGATGATCGCCTTCTTCATCCGAACGGCTTCTGAATGCTGAGTCCGGTCGTAAGACTGGAGGATGGCAATGGTCTTATAGCCAGAGACTGCACAGATCTTACGATCAGCCAAACTTGCTGCCAGTGCCTTTATGCGACATATGGTACTTGCTCGTACACAGTGGTTGCCCTACACCTTTGACAAGGCCGCTTGCTCACTGGTTCTACCCGCCGTTGTGGCTTAGTGGCATGTTCACTGGCATGTAGCGCACACCTGTTGATTCACTGAAAGGCTGAGCTTGCTGAAACAAGCGTAGGCAGGACAGGTGGAGATGAGGCAGATACAGCTTGATGACAGCTGAGACGCTTCCCCTTGAAAGAACGCAGCCCTATTGGAGCCACCGAGGGCTCGCAGAGGCGCATGTGGCATCGTAACGGATCCCGGACCACGGAAGCAGAAACTCACCGGGAAGAAGCTGAAGGCTTGTCGGAGCCCCAGTGAGACGATTCCAAACGGTCTGCGAGCAGAGTAGAGAGAGTGACCTAGCTAGAGACTGAACAACTAACGCCAACACTTGATACTTCGTGGCAAACGGAACTCGCCACACAAACGAATGGAAGATCACGGTAAACAGATTCTGCTTCTTGTTCTCTCTGCAACTACAGGTAAAGGTAGGTAGAGCGGAGCTGCCGATGATTGTTGATTAGGCCAGCAGTTCTGAACGAGGATCCAACCAGATCATCTTGATGATTTTTGCTCATGAAATCTTTCGACAGTCTGATATATACTCACAGCCTACATCCTCGTTCGTCTTGAATACCAGGTCATCCTTTCGTACCTGGGCTTGAATCTCGCGACCTCGTAGGCAGAAGTGAGATGAGATTGTGAACCAGGCGAATCTGCACAATTTCACTGGATTGTCCTCAGACTCAGCGTTGTCAAAGAATGCAGAGACTTTGTCACAGTCTTGGTAGCTCAATGGGTCCTTGTGCTGCACACTCACTTCTGTTCCGTCAGACTTGTTCCGCTTCAGAACAGCATTCAGGACAGGATTTGCACGAGTGAATTCCTTGTCTGAGTAGATACTGGATATTCAACGTTTTGCCAAACATTCTAAATATACTGTTGGAGATCTGCTTGACAAGTGATGTAGCTATTCCTTTTATAGACAGTGGCCATCTCGTTTCTTCAAAACAGTATGACAGTTCTCTAGTTTAGTCGCCCAACCGGTTGAGGAACAGGCTTTGATATTTGTACGGTTGATTCTTATGACTGCTAGTATGTGGAATACCGCATCTGGAGGCGTGCATGTGCGTATAGATATTTTACGACTCCCGTACTTCTCAACATCCCATTGATCCCACCAGCAACTTGTAGTTGTTATTTTTCAACTCCTGGGCACTCCTAAAAATTCGAAAACTCACCCATCGACTTTACAAAGAAGTCGAAGCATCGACTTACAAAGAAGTCGAAGTATCGACTTTACAAAGAAGTCGAAAGGATTCGGGAAATGCCAAGGAGAACGGTTCAAGTAAAATAAGTCTTGATAAATCTATTATTAGCCTATTCTATTGGTAAGGTTGAGGTAGTTGGAACCTCATAACCGGTCAATAACGTATATGAAATAGTAGAAATAGTCAGAAATACACAGAACAACAAAGCTAGCTGGTCACTCCTCTGAGTTTCATGCTTACGCAATCATCACCTACAGTCCATTTCAAAACTATAGACGCGTACCTAGGCAAAAACCGTTATGCCAGCATCTATACCACATAAAATCTGTGATCACTTTGTGCATAAATTTTTCCAAATTGGGCGTCTGTTATCCAATCGTTTAGAAACTATAATATAATATTATGAGAGTAATTGTGGAGCGGACCTGAGCAATATTCCGAAAACTATTCTCAAAAAGCTCCAGCCAAATTTGAAATATTTCAAAAACCCTACGCGTCTAGGTTTGAAATGGACTGTAGGACTGCTCCTCCAGTCAATAGAGAGGTTGCGCACAACGAAAACTCGTAGCACCGTAACGAAAAAAGCTAACGAATATTCGTAAACCGTGAGGTTGCGCACAATGCGTGAACCTTTTCGTAGTGGGTCGACGTGGCGGCCGCGTGGGTGCAAAGGGTCAATACAGGGAGTTGTAAAATATCAGAATTTTAGTACTCCAACGGACGAAAAATATTTTCGTTGATCTGCTGTGTTTCGGTCGCGTTTGGACGGATCTTCGTAGCAACTTTTGTTACTCGAACCCGGACTGTCAAAATCTTACTTGTACGCATTTTTGTTGTGCACAACCTCTCCATTAAAAAAACTCACAGTTTGCATGAGGCTTGGCTAGAAGCCGCCTTTTCCACATCCGTAGGAACGCCGCCACCCTCTAGGATCACCTCTCCATTATATGAAAGAAAAACCTTTTAAAAGATGTTTGCTTCGTCTCGGTCTTTTACTTGGTTTGTATTTTTATATTGATGTCTTTGTTGGTAAATAATGGATACGTACTACTGCAGTGCACTGCACTGCACTGTACTGCAGTGTGGTGATTGGTATGTGTGTACGGTGTGTACTTGTACCCTGTTTTCATTATTACTAATGTTGTAGAAACACAGTGACAAGGTCGTAATCAAGCTGCATATGGATCACACGAGAGTACTGCAAGTCTCCAACAAGATCACCTTCGACAAGCTGCTCTCTGCTGTCTGCAAAAAGTTCCATCAGGATGACAAGTCTCTATCGCTGTGGTGAGTAGAGTGTAGTTACTGGTTGTGTTCACAGCATGGTCTTGCATGCTGCAATGTCTTGCACAACAAGCTGTTCTAATTTGGCCACACAACAGCCCTTTCTGCCTGCCACAACTGCCTGAGCATGAAGTGAGTAGTGTTTGCAAAGAGTGATTTCTTGTAGTGATTGCGAGTAGTGTTTGCAAAGTTCACACCCCCCCCCCCAAATTCGAAGCATTTTTGGCATAGGAACTAAAGCTGAAGGTGCTGAGACGTGGCCGTATCTGAGGCGTCCGGATAAGAGACGTTTGAGTGTAGTTGATTGAGAGTAGTGATTGTGAGTAGGGATTTAGCCAGTGCTCTCGTTTCACCCTACTTGAAGGGTGTACACAGTGTTACATCATCATAAACCTTCAAACTAGCAGGCAAGTGTAGCAATGTCGTGAAGTGATGATGTCTAAAAGCGGATGTTTCATGTACATGCTCATGTGACTCTCTCTCTCTCTCTCTGTCTCTCTCTGTCTGTCTGTCTCTCTCTCTCTCTCATTCACTCCCTCCCCCCCCCCCCTCCCTTCCTCCAATTGAGGGGTTGCCAGAATGGAAATCAAAAATAGGGATTCACTGGCCAAAACAAAAAGAAAGAAAAAACACTGGTGGAGACCAAGCTAAAATTAGTGGTGGTCACTTCATCAGCTTTGCTCGCTATCATCGATTCGGCGATGGGTGTGTCTGTGTGTGTGCGTGTCCATGCGTGTCTGTGCGTGTGCACGCGCGTGCAGTGTGCATTATATGTGTGTGTATGTGCATGCACGCATGTGTGTATTCGTGTTCGTAGAGTCTTCTACTGATGAGGTCATCGTACCATTTTCCATTTTCTCCGCCGGTCCTATTGCTGTGTATACATGTGTGTGTGGTGCGTGCGTGTGTGTGTAGGTATATGGTTGGTGGTGAGCTGTCACAGGTGGAGAGGGCCACAGATCTATGCGAGTGCTGGAAACAAGCCACTGTCAATAAGCAACACCTGACTCTGTGGGTGTATGCTGCACCAGTAAGTAACATACCCTGTATTATCTCCATCACAAGCCACGGGCTGATAGTTTTCCAACCAATCCGCACCCCGGGCTTATATGAGAGACTGGGCTTATAATATTTTCAATCACCGGGTACATGTACATTTGTTACTATTATTAATTAATTATTTTGTATTATAACAGTAGGTCAACGTTTTCCAGCATGTATTGTGACTGCAGTTTTTGTACTTCCTGGTACACTGGGTCTGTACTTTGTTTATCTGAGGGATCACAGACTTGTGTATATGTGACACTGTGTGATACCAAACATGCATGGATATGATCCGTACAGTTCTCCATTATAAGCCCTGCTAATTGGTGACCACCCTGCGCTTTCGAAGTCCTCTTGGAGTGCGCTTGTAATAGAAACTGGGTATCTACAAGAGATTGCGCGTGTAATAGAAATAGTACGGTACTGGTCACTGCTTAGTTTCGGTTTGCTGACATGAGGTGAGAATAGAGAATTTTTGTTACATTTCCTGTAAATCCTGGACTAGTAAGAAGCTCAGGAAAAAAGCTATATTTATGCCATGGTCCTTGTTGTTGGTGCACCTCTAGCTTTTCTAGCTTTTGTATCACAATAATACCTTCACTAATTGGTGACCACACCCTGGTTCTGAACTTCACACCTGAAATGTTTGGTAACTGTAGCCAATCAGAATTCAGCAAGTATTTGGGTGATAAGCCATCAGCAAGCCAAGAAGAGGCAGAGAAAATCTAAAAGTCAGCAAGTGTTTGGTTGTCAACAAGTATTTGGTTGATAACCCATCAGCAAGCCAAACAGAAGCAGAGAAATTCTAAAAATATTGCTTCGCGATCAACAGAACGAACCGACATTTCACAAAGGCTTTATTGTATTCAAAAACTTTTTTCTTCTTCCCTGTTCTTCACCGCCTTTAGTATCAACTCGGTTTTGAAATGTTCTGTTGATCACAGTTCTAAAACTATTGTCGCCTCGATGCTTATTTAAATATTGCTTCGGTTCAATAATTAATACTGCTTAATTCAAATGGAATGAATAGATTTCAGAGCTTACCGCTTATCATCATTGCCTATTAAGAAGTGGCTCACCTGCCCTTCGCCTCTTGAGAGAAAGAGCTTTCGCTTCCTGACGACTGTGATGTTGACATTTTGTAGCGCGTTGAATGTCAGAGCATTTGCAAGAACATCTGTCTTCTTGGCTGGCAGATCGCTGTCTCTGTCATGACAGCGCTTGCTCGGGGCGAGTGTAGCCTTGCCGTCAATCTTTGCAGATAGGCTCTTCATTTCGGTCGTCGTCGTTTGGTCGTATGATTCAAGGGACTGAATGTTACGGTGTCCAGATACGGCGCAGATTTTCCGATCCTCCACGCCTGCTTTTTTGAGCTTCACAATTATTGTACTGGCAATTGTACTGGCTCTGACAGAGTGGTTGGCATAGGCAGTACTTAGCTTGGCCTCTTGAGAGATCTTGCGCATCATTGTGGACAACATATTATGAGACAGTGGACTTTTCATAAACCGCTCGGAATCACTCTCTAGCGATACACCAAACGGCACTCTGGCACATTGGAATATGCGGTCTATGTCGGGATGGAGCTTCGACAGATAGTGCATGAACACTGCAACTTGCTGAGGATCGGAAATACAGCCAGCAGAATTGAAGCTCGAGCCCTTCAAACCACCTTGATAGTTTTTGGTAGAGAACTCCGTCCTGAGTGTAACAATTTCACATCCGCCATCAGGTGCTGATATCAGGAAATCCTGCTTCCTAAGGCGAGCGAGCAACCACGGAGGCAGACGTGGGAACTCACTTGATACCATACATACAATGTGTATTTCCGCGGATCATTGCATGTGGCGATGTCAGCGAAGAACTCCGCGATCCTCTCAGAGTCGGCATCTGAAATAGGCGGTTTGTGCGCAACAGGGGCTTCTCCGACTGTTTTCTTGTTTGCCTGGAGCGATGCACTCAGAACAGCGTTGCTTTTCTTGAAAGCGGCATGTTTGAATAAATTGATCTCGCGTTCTGGAACTAACATACGATGGAAGGCACTTCTGGCTGCAAGGGGAGAGTTTCGCTTGTAGGGTTGGTCATTCTTGGTTTTGGCGTCCATATAGAAACTGCCAAATTCCAGGGCAATCTCCTCTTCCGAAGCAGTTTTCAGTTCCAAAAGAGCACCATTCTTCGTTCGGCAATACTTCTGAAACTGATCGATCCAAAATTTGTTCGCTGTCACAGTGCTTTTCGGAACGGCATCTTCAAGCTATTTCTTTTGATCGTCAGCAGAAGAAAATACACGACTCCTTCACCATTTTCGGAAACTGCTGCAGGACAGCATCGGAAACTGCTTCTTGTCCAGACATATTTGCAACACACTGAAGGGAACCACCACGTGAAAGTGAGTGCGCATGCTCTGCAGTGCCAAAAAAGCACGTGGAACAAAGTGTGCATGCTCTCTGACAGCCATTTTGGTACCTTTCTGGACCTTTTTTGCAACAAAAGCTCTCTCACTTGGACCCTCTTGTACGCGCAGACATTTCTGCACCACATTGTATGCGTAGCGCGGTACGATACCAAAGTACCAAAGTTTGAACTACACCAATCACCATACTCTACATCTGGTTTCCATGGCGCTGATGGAGGACGTTCCGAAACTTCCTTTCAGTGTTTGTTTCTTTATTGGTGAAGAAATAGGTCCCCAGTGTCGCAAAGGTACTTATGAAGGTCAATATATGAATAATAAATGTAGTAGCCGAAGGATTTATTGCTATTACATACCACTTATATAAAAAAACCTCGGGGGACCTCGGTTTTTATACTGGTATGTGATTGCAATAAATCCTTCGGCTCACAGAGCTAGCAGTGTGATATTAGCGCAATGTACATGTATATGGCTGGTGTGGGCTGGTGTTATGAGCAAGCTGTGTGAACGTGAATGGTGTAGGCAGGAGGCTGTGGAGACATATTCAGGTGACACCTAGGTATTTTGGGAGATACTTGTTCTCGTGTCGGCACTTGGACACCATTTCCGAGCGCTTGTTGAGGCTGGATGGCGACCCTAGCGTGTTCAGGATGTGGTACTTTTCTCTGGTACAGAGGGAACACCGCTTTGTGATGTTGGAGTATGCTCGGGCGCGATCAGCCTAAAGATGTCTCTTTTCAGGGATGAGCTAATATGGAATACGAAATTCTAGAACAGTGTTTAATTCCAGCTCAAGCAGAACAATGCTACAACAAAACAAATCTAAGCATAAGTAGCAAGCAGATAACTGCACGTCCATATCTACAAAATGGGATGAACATTCAGTGAATCTTCAAATTCTGATTGCATATTTTAAGAAGTGGCTCACCTGACCTACGCGCTCTTGGGAGAAAACTGAACGTTGGCTTCCTGATGACGGTGACATTCTACATTTTGGATGGTAGCCCCTTGCGCGCGTTTTCAGCGTTAAGTATCTGAAAGAACATCTCTTGGCCTGCACATCGCTCTCTTCGCCGTTACAGTGCTCGCTGGCGATCAGTGTCGGCTTGCCGTCAATCTTTGTGGACATGTCCTTCATTTCGGCTGTTGTGTGTTTGGTTATATTATTCAAGCGACTAAATTTTACGACACAACACAAATCGTTCAATCCTCCACACACCTTCTTGAGCTTCCCAATTGTACTGGCTGCTGCAGCGCACTGATTGCTATACAGTATGTTCAGAGATCTTACACATCATTGTAGGCAACATGGACAGTCCACTCTTCCATCACTCACTCTCTACTGATGCACATCATTGTAGGCAACATGGACAGTCCACTCTTCCATCACTCTCTACTGATGCACATCATTGTAGGCAACATGGACAGTCCACTCTTCCATCACTCTCTACTGATGCACATCATTGTAGGCAACATGGACAGTCCACTCTTCCATCACTCTCTACTGATGCACATCATTGTAGGCAACATGGACAGTCCACTCTTCCATCACTCTCTACTGATGCACATCATTGTAGGCAACATGGACAGTCCACTCTTCCATCACTCTCTACTGATGCACATCATTGTAGGCAACATGGACAGTCCACTCTTCCATCACTCTCTACTGATGCACATCATTGTAGGCAACATGGACAGTCCACTCTTCCATCACTCTCTACTGATGCACATCATTGTAGGCAACATGGACAGTCCACTCTTCCATCACTCTCTACTGATGCACCAGGCGGCAATCTTGCGCGTTGGAAGATTTGGTCCACGTCTGGACGCGCCTTAGGCTGTGTTCGTTTTTAACTACTTGGTAGAGTAGAGTCACTGTACTGATAGAGGTAGATGGTAGAGGTAAGTGCACGAACGCTGTTCTACCGGATTTAGTAGTTTACACATATGTACGTGAAATGTTTCTCTTCTGTATGGAGTTGTGTACAAATCCTTGATCTTGCTGGAAATCCCGTAGCTCTACCAACTTCTACCGGCTTCTACCCACTTTTTTCCTGGTAGAGCCGCCGGTAGAGCAGCCGGTAGAGCAGCCGGTAGAGGAAAGTAGAATCTACTAGGGTGAAACGAGTATATTGAATACTCGAGCTCGCGCTCGAAAATTTGAAACGAGCGAGTACTCTTTTCGCAAAATACTCAAAGTATCCTATGTGCAGTGTATTGTATGTATGTACATCAAGCATTTCTGTTACTCTGACTGGTACTGGTGACCCATTCAAGTGCGAAATTATTGCTTGTCCATACTTACCAGCTAAAGACAGTAAGACTATTTCCTTAACTAGGCTGTTCGGTGTTGCGAGAGTGTCACGGTGCAGTGCATTGTTTTATGTTGTCAGTACTCGTACTCGCTCGAATACTCGCTCCTTTTTTTAAAGAGTACTCGAGTCCCCTACTTTGGCACTCGTTTCACCCCTAGGACTCAATCTACCCTTTTGAGTAGTTTTTTCTTCTTCAAAAAACAAACACCTCTACAGAAAGAAGTAGTTTCAACCCAAACCTGTAGATCACCCACAGGGTGCCCCTCCTAGGCCGAGGTCATGGTCCGCGATTGTACGGAGACTTTGTATTTCGCTTTCACAGAACGTTTTCGTAATATTTTTCAAGCCTGAGGACTTGAATCAGGGACATTCGCTATAGTATAGGCCAGCGATGCTCTAACCACTTTTTAAAGCTAGTAGAATTATGTGAATGTGTCTTTTTCCTTTTTCTGCCATATGCAGTGTCCATAGTAGACGGTTGGTACACTTCTGTCTCCATCTCAGCCGACCGGATCATTCTGTGAAAATACCTGCTATCCGAAATGTCCTAGACACAGCCAGATATCTGTCTTTTGGGATAGGTCTCGTTGGAAAGACGAACACGAATCTTCGATAGGCGGCATACACTGAAAAAGAAGGTGAAATATATCTTCCCTCGACTGATTCTACTCTCTCTCTATGTATATTATATATTTTCTAGTACAAACTTAGAACAACTTCTATTTATAGCACAGTTACATATTTTTGGAAGTGTGTGTATGTGTGCACATGCATGTGTTTGTGTGGGTGTGCGTGTGTGTTATGGATGGGTGTATTTCCCTGCGACTAGAAGCCATACTTGTTAGTGTTCAGTAGGATTTCCTGTGCACTTGTGTTATTTTGAAGACTTTTACTCCTAGGATTGAATTTTGATTAGCAATCTAAGAATTCCAGCACATCCACTTTTCTATTTTCATCACATTTTCCTTTTCTATTGGAGCACGCAGCTCAGATTTTCAAGACTTTCATATTCGATTTTTAATATTTTTTATTTATTGATTTTATTTATACCGTATGTCAGCGCACCTTTAAAGCCATGCATGGCCTTATATTCGAAACACCGCTGCTTTCCTAGCTATTTTAGATGCAAAATGAGTTAAATGACCCACCCATACGCCATGCCATAAAAGTCATTCCACACAGAAATTTCAATCTAAATCCACTTGTTCACCCTTCCTGCTGGGCTGTAAGTTTGTTATCATACTACTTATTCCTTCTTGCAAATTTTATGGCTTGGGGCTCCCCGCTTGCTAGTTTGTACGTGAAGTGTGTGGGTTACAGTGAGGGCTGCGTCCCACCCGCCTGTGTAGATTCACAGGAAGTGCGAGTTACAAAGTCTGAGGAAGGTATTGAACGGTCTCTGCTGGGATGACGACTACACCATAGCTCAGAGGTTAGAGCATCGCTGCATGGCTACAAGCGAGGGTCCCTGGTTCGAGTCCTGGTGGTGACAGTCAATTTTTTCTTCAGACTTTTCCCGTTGGCGTCTTTCCCTCAAACCAGTGATAAACGTATTCCTTCATTTTTACAAAACATACTTCAAATGTCATTTCATTTATGAAGCACATGAGTTTATAGTTCAGGACTCAACCGGTAGCGAAGCCGTTCCAATGCCCGGTATGCCACCGTAGTTTTCGTCGACGGCAGGATGAGAGTCGCCACAAATGTAACGCGATAAGAC